CTAGTGAATTCAAGAAGAAAATTTTCTGGAGGGCAGTGGTGGCTGAGTTCCTTGCCATGAGCCTTTTTATTTTTATCAGTATTGGCTCAGCTCTGGGATTTAGCTTCCCAGTGGTGGGCAACAAAACATCCACAAGGTCTCAGGACAACGTGAAGGTTTCTCTGGCTTTTGGGTTATCCATCGCTACCATGGCACAGAGCGTGGGCCACATCAGTGGTGCCCACCTGAACCCAGCTGTCACCCTGGGCCTCCTGCTGAGCTGCCAGATCAGCATCTTGAAGGCACTCATGTACATCATTGCCCAGTGCCTGGGGGCAGTGGTGGCCACGGCTATTCTGTCAGGAGTCACCTCCTCTCTCCCAGACAACCTTCTGGGGCTCAATGCGGTGAGTAGAAGCTTTAAATTCCTCCTTTTAGTTTTCTTTTTTAGTAGAAATGCAACACACCTGTGAGCTACTAAAGGTGGGAGCTGGTGTGTGTGTGGGTGGTAGTGATGACGGTGGTGATGTTGACTTCAGGCAGTCAGTTGCTTCTTGTAGCAGGGGGTCCTGTCCTGACTGATACTGGGATGGTTCTATGTCATAGTGACAGTCCTTTCTCCCCACCTCCATTTTGGAGCTTTAGGACATTATGGGTGAGATCAGACTTGCTTATGTCCAATTTTGTACACCCAAGTAGCAGAAAGGTGCCTTTTGATGCCAATTTAACATTAAAATGACTGGCAGTTGCATGGTTGATTCCCTTTTGTGGCTCTGGAGGACTCAGGTGACATACTGATTATTCTACATCTACCAAGAGTGGTTTTGCTTGTGTGAATGTGTTTCTTTTTAAATACCTAATTAATGGCTTGTGTAACCTGATGAGCATTGCAATGAAAATCTATGGGAAGAGTGAGAGGGATGTGGAGCAGGAGAAACCCCATCAGCAAAGGTGTGAGCATGACCTGTTGCATTAGGCAGACTGCTCAGATCCTGCCTGACACAGAATCCCAGCTGCACTTTCTGAGTGTTTCTCCTTTCACTGTGCAAAAAAAAAGCCCTGAACACTCAGGTGTAAACTGGAGAAGGATGTGAGGCAGCTGAATTTAACAGGGGTGCAGGTTTCTTCTCTCTCTCAGCCAGGTGCTCACAGCAATTGACCTTCATGCAGCCTAAAAACTGCCTAACCACAACACCTCCTGCTCCAAATGTTATTTTACTGTTGTTGTGCCATAACAGGAGAAAAAAGGATACACTTTTAAGCTTGAAATCATTCTCCTTTCAGGGCCAGTGCTACTGCTGCTGCAGTGCACAGAGAACTATAAATAGAAATTGCCTTCTTGTCACTTCTTTCACCTGGTTCTGTTGAGAACAAGTATTCCACATCTTTTCTACAGCTCCTTTCTTGCAGGGTATTCCTGACTGCAGCCTAAAACTTGAGCTGATTTGAACTCTTGTGCCCATTTGCAGTCACAGGGATCTTTGAGACATAAAGCCGCAAATACAATATTCAGAAATTGGTTAGGCAAAAGGGGAAGACAAGATTAATAAAATAAGTCAAAAAAGAAGATTTGAATTGTAAACATAATAAAATCTGATACTAAGAAGGTGATTCCTGAGTATCATCCACCCTCTGAGTGTTGGCTGCTTATTTCCCTCAAGCCTGGTGCCCACAAGTATTTCACTGTGCCACGGTTTCGGTAATTTTGGTGGGTTAATCCCAAACATTTTGGGGGAAGAAGAGTGAATCATTTTATTAGCTCCAGAAGGCTCTGGCTGTGTGTGTGATACATGATCTTCTCCTCTGAAACCACTGGCAGAGGGAATTGCTCGACCGCATGGGACAGGGGATCCACCCAAGTGGTTTCCTCAAGAGGTCCAACTGCCATTAAGCACGGGAGGTCTGGCTTCAGTAGCACTCACATTTGGTCTTCGCCTGTCACAAATTGCTGATGGCTGATGCCTTCCTCTATCCAAAAGGCTTGGAACTGTCCATTTCTATAGGGGATGTAGATTACCACCCCAAACTCTTCATGCTCCACAGTCAGTAACTCTCCAAGCTACAAAGATATGAGTTAGAGCTCTGCACAAGGACATCTCAGAGGAGAAGACCTTATGGTCATACATGGAAAGATCAGTGGAGTCACTGATTGTAGTAAACCTAGGAGACAACTTCATGAACCCCAAAAATTGTATGTTGGGGGGAAGCCTTGTCTTCCCCTCAGGAACACCTCTGGAATACAATGGAATACACTCTTTTCAAGACCATAAAACACTGTCAGCAAAACCAGAGAGTGTAAACCTCTATCAGCCCAATTTTACAAATCTGGCAATGCCTTCTGTGCATGAATTAATGGATAAAATGCTTCCTAAAAGCCGTGAAATGCTCAGTCTCAGTGCTTGTCATTGTATAAGACTCTATTTATTTAATTAATTTTATATTATTCAGTTATAAATGTTTTGGCTAGAGGAGCAGAGGAGAGGTCTCCCAGGGGATGGGGAAGGCAGCAGCTGTTCTTCTCCCTTGCAGGAAAGGACTAGTGAGGAAAGCAAATCCATTCATTTCCCACTGACAAGCTGAGACTGTCTTGGGAGTTGAGGGGGGAGTTGGGTCTGAGCCCAACACCAGGAGGAACAACAACAGAGCCCATCACAATGGGGCATGTCCTGAAACCACAGCCCAACACCAAAAGCAGGCTGCCTCCTCCAGCAAACAGGTGATAAGGAGAAACCACAGAGATTGCTTTTATGTGGTGTTTTTTTTTTAACTGAGGACAAGGAGGGGAGGGACAGAGCTGCTTTGTCTTCGCTCTTCCTGTAAAAAAATGAGGTATAGATTCATTGTTGAGGAAAAGAATAAAAAGAAGGAGAATGCTTTTGGTTTGACCAGGTTGGGAAGGGAGCCTGGAGATGTGTGAGTGTGTCCTCTGTTCTCATGCTGTTTGAGGGGTGTTTTTTACAGGAAAAATGTGGTGGGAAAAGTTTAATGAAGTCAGTGACTATCCTGGGTCCCCACTGGATACAGGGTAGGGTTGCATGAACTTTTAGATTTATCCTGCCCAGCTGCAGGTCCTACCCTCAGGGACCAACTGGGAAACCCTTTTCCATAGGGTTCCTCATCAGTTCACAGAGAAGGGGACAAAGACAAGTACTTAATCCCTTAGATCTTTAGAATTGTTCTCCAAAGACAGCCAGCTCTTCCTTTGCATGATGAAGCTCCAGGCTTGGAAACCTCTGTTAAGTACCCAAAATAAAGTTATATCAATTTGTGCCTTTCTCATAGTGCAAAGGGGAAAATGGGAAGAGAAGAAAAAAAGACAACAAAAATCAGCCATAGAAGGTGCAAGGTTGCAGAGAAGAAGGGACAATGGAAAAGCAGGATGGTCCTTTAACATGCTCAATATTAAGGTCTGGTTTACACTATGAGACAAGTAAAACAGTCACATATGAAAAGTTTGATCCAAACTTTACTGAGGTCAATGGAAATATTTATAGTTACTTTGGCTGGTTCCAAATAAGACATTCTGGATAGAATTCAGGGAGGTATTTAGATTACTGAATCTTTTAAAGACACTTAATTTCCCATATATTTTAGTAGTGGTGTGAGTGCCAAAGTAAAACCTTCGAGACTTGGAAAAGCTGAAAGAGGATTATTCAGTGTGTTTGTTGCTCTAAAAAATTCAATATTTTTTCCTGACATCATCTTGTATCTTTTTTTGGAAGCTGGAGTACTCCGTGTTACAAGTTTCCATTAGGTAGAACTGTAAGAATAGAGAATGCCTAATCCAAAGGGCTCTCATCTGCCAGCATAGCTGGCTATTGTCTGGTGAGGACAGATCTGTAGTCTGGATAATGGAAGGAACTATTCATCATGGGCAGTTAATGACCAACAAAGAGCTCAAGCAGGAAAGGCGGGTGAGAGGAGACTGCTGTACTGTAAGGTAACACAATATTTGTGGTTCAGCAATGATTACCTTGAGACTTTTTATCAGGCTCTTAAAAACAAATTGGAAAAAGTTCTTTAGTTCAGTTTGGTTTGGTGTTTTTTAAATATATATATATATATATATATATATATAGTGAAAATAATCAAAGTCTGTGGCAATGCAGACACTGCTTTACAATTTCCCAATCTCTGTGTTTTGGCATGCTGATCAGAGTGCCAGGAAATGTGCCTCCTAAGTCTCGGGGCTACAATTTGTAAACTATTTGAAAACTCTGCCTTGAAGTTTATAAAAGAAGATCTAGGGTTTTTTTTTTTTTTTAAATATAGTTATAAGTGGATCAAAAATGGTAGGCAAGGAAAACAGAGCTGAAGGTAGTGTTGCTCTGGGTAGATAAAGAGAAAAGAAAAACAACTAAGAATAACAAATGGACTTGAATTTAAAAAACATTCAGTGGACTGATAAATGTTGTTTGTGTAACTGAAGAACATTCTGGAAAAGCCAGAAGAGATCTGTGGTCAGTGGATTCAGAGTTTTGGAGCATTTTCTTAAGAAAGGCAGTGTCCACAGAGTGGGATAAGCTGTGGGAGAAGAATTGGTGCAGATATGGACACAATGCCCTACGGTGATAAACATCTAGTGGCCAACTCCAAATCCTTTCTCAAACACAGGGAGAAAGGAACCCTTGGTGTCCTTGCTTCTGCATCCCAGGGGAGTATCTGCTGTTTCAAGACACCTTCCACCCTCACCAAAGTCACACTACAAGATGAGTCCCCTTTCCATAGGTTATCCTTCTTAAGTGGATTATGGTCCAGCAGCAGCAGAGCAGCTTTGAACCCTTATGCTGGAGATGGCTTTTTTTTCTCTGTTTTTATGTGTCCCCCAGATTCCAGCCTTATTCTGCTACTTAGGAAAGCTGAAGGCTGGACAATCTCTTGTCTCCAGGAGACTGGAGCACAGGTTGGGGCATACGGTTTGTGGATAACTAACATCTGGAGATGCATCATCCTATCTGTAGAACATCGATATTGGTGATTTTTCTCCCAACAAATTTCCAAGGCACAGAAACCTCTAGTGCAATGGGGGTTCTTCTTCATAAAGCTGAGACCTGCCACACCTTTTGATGGTGTTTGTGGGTCAATACTGATGCTTTTATCCTGATCTTCATCATTGGATACTTCCTATCCCTTAGAAAGTTGCCTCAGAACAGATCAGGGAAAGGAATCACCAGACTCCCCACATTTGATCCAAACCAGTGCAACAGTGTTGGCCCTCAGAGTGAGTCTTCCCATGGTGAGTGGGATTGGCATGGTTGTTGGCCCTGATGACTCAGTGTTTATCTTGTGATTTCCCTCTCTCTTTGTGCCCGCACCCTATGAGTCTGCTCTCCTCCAACCTCAAATTAAACAAAATTGTGTTGAGTTGGAAGAACTTCCAAAATAAACTGAGAGCTTGAGAGTGTGA